TCTGCTACTTAAAAAGGTTGGAGACCACTGATCTAGAAATACAATTTTGTGTCCTGATACCAATACAACAATGCTAGCCTGAGCAGGCTGCACAGCTGATGAAGCTATACTGTTACTAGAGCTAGCTTGTTTGTCTTTACCCAGTACTGAATTGCACTGTGTAGATGTGACAATGTCCTTGGCACTTTGCTTAACATCTTTTCTGCTCAGACTAATAAAAACAAATCAGAATTAATAATGAAGTTCCTGAATAACAATAGGTAAATGCATCTGCATGAACCACAATTCAAACACTTAGACACCTGATAGATGTGTATTTAATTGCAGTATGGAATGGTGTAGGACATTCAATTTTGGACATCCACCACAAAATTTGTCAGATCCCAGTCATGCAACAGGCAAGTGGGGTGCCTGGCATCAGAGACTCCGTCCCCAAAGCCAGGCTCCCTCCACCCTGGATACTCAAAAGGCATTGTGGGAATAATGGTATCAGGGACCAGTCCCTGATACCATGCTTCCTACAGCACTCTTTCAATTTGCCAGCTTGCAGGGAGACCATCAGCTGATGCATTCACAAACTTCAGTCATATGGTGCAGCCTTGTTGTGGGGTTGTACCCTGCAGTTTTCATCTTGATGATAGGCTGTCAACCTGCTGGCTGAAGATCTAGATGGGTAGGGAGCCTGGCATTGGGGACAGCTGAAAAGCCAGCTGTTGGGCACCCTGTGCTCCAGCACTTAAAACTCCCCAGCACATAAAGCTCCTTCATGCCTAGCTGCTAGTGTTATGGAAATAAAACATAAAAAACCCCTAATTCCCTTTATTTTCTGTTTCAGAAATTCAGATCTCCAGTTTACTTTGACTGTCTATTTAATTTTATATGTATGCAATTTATCCCAGTGTCCCTACTGATAAATATATACAATATACGTAAATGTATGTACATAGCACACTGTCTCAGGGATAGCAAGAGGAGGGGCTGGGAAGCCCCACTCGTGGGACCTGCCATGGGGGAAAAATAGTGAAATAAAGAAAGAAATACAAAACAGTTACTTACCTGAAGGAGGAGCGGCGCTAGAAGATCCAAAAGAGAAGCCCACGTGGTTTACAAGCCGCACGTTTATGCAATTAAGGCCGGTGGGTGATGTCACAAGGACGCACCGGCCAACAGGAATAAAAATGGCTGCTGGCAGTAGGGAGGGGAGAGCCAGTGAGGAGGTGGAGGCTCTCCATGCCGGTAGTAGGCAGGACCAGCGCAAAATGGAAATGCCCGAGCGACGGGCAGTGAGAGGAGCACCGAGAACTCCTCACACTGGTGGCACTAAGATTGAGCCCCAGGAGGGGCATAGTGCAGGGATGGACTTCTCCCTTGTGCTGTTTCATAGTTTCATAGTTTCTAGGGTCGGAAGGGA